TATAGTAATTTATATATAGAACCGCATTACGTTTCACTATGATCATTCTTCAGTTGACTGGAGAATCGTCAATTAAACAATTAAACTAAGTTCACTTTATGACTTTTTGTGATATTGCAGAAGAATGGGTTTTTTTAGACAAAATTATATGATTTTAACTAGTTCAAAATTTATCTAAATTTTTTCATTCTACTCAACCAAACCCATCAGATGTTTTTAAAATTATTTAGTATATGTGGCCTGTTAAGATATAGTTATAGGCAATAATTTGTTTATATATAAGTAGACAAAAAGAAGCAAACATAATATTATGATTTTCTTCAAAATACTATATGTTAGCAATTCTAATTCCCATATATTTTTCTTTCGCAATAAAGATTCATCAAGCAATAATAATTTTAATTTACTTATTGCACAGGATTGCTGTATCAGACATCATACAATAACTGATGTATATATTAGTTAAATTAGTAAGAATAGTTTTAGGCTAAAAAAGGTTAATAATATGTATAAGCATTAATCTTTTATTAATAATATGGGTTAAAGATTGTATTATACTTTAATAAAGATCATAATAACAAAAAAATAGAAATAATTATTTTTTATATTTAAAAAACTTTATTTATATTAAATTTGATCTTTGTAAATTAGCAAATTAGTGAATATTATTCTATAATATATATCTGCTTTGTTAGATAATTATCGAATAAAGAATTTTTATTGGTTAACTATATTAAAAAAAAATTTCTAACCTTTACTTTGTTTATGTAGGCAGGATATGAAAACTAATTTTTTTTTTTTCTTTTATTGGCAGCCTTGCAAATATCTTTATTAGATCAAAGCTAATATACAGTTACATTATAAACAGTGTTGTTAAGATCTGTAGTCGACTAAAAATTTGCTGATTATTGGTCAAATGGCCATTGGTCTGGTCCGTCTGGTCAATTGGTCAAGTGATCAGTTACACAGACCAATTTGACCAATTTGACCAATTTGACCGTGGTCGAATTGGTCGAATTAGTCAAATTGGTCTGTGTAACTGATCACTTGACCGATTTGACCGATTTAACTGATTTGATCATAGTCAAATCAGTCAAATTGGTCAAATTGGTCAAATAATTTAATACACTGCCGCATGCAAAATTGTGTACTATTAAGAAACGTTTTTGTTCCAAAGCACTTTATTTTGCTACCCGGATTTAACACCTAAATTTGGGATCTACCAACCATGAATTAAAGTTTTGGTCTAAAGACTGTAAATTGTATAATGAGTTCAGGTCTTTACGAATATTTATTTGTTCTCTAAAATGCATTTAATTTGATTAACATTAATTTCTCTGAAAATGCGTCTATCAAATGTATACAAGTTGATTAGCCATAATGGTTGTATCTTACTATCTTCGGCAATCGATTCAAGATCAAAAATTTTTAAAGTTTTGATACGTACAAAGATAATTAATTAATCAAATTTGGAATAATCTACCTTTTTATAAAAACTTGTAATAAAAGTATTCGAAACCATTTGATCGAATTAATTTCGCTTCTGTTTGCACGATAGCTTTGCGCAACTACCTTATTTATATAGTGATAAATTTCTAAAAGAGCCTAAAACTAGCTTAAGAATACTGTACTGTCAATTTTCGTTCAATTTTTTTTTTGGCTTCCAATTGACATGTGAATTTACTTAAAGACAATTCGCACCCCATTTCAGCCCACTATGTTAAGGGATTAGTATTAACTACTATACTGACAAATAACCAATTCTGCTACAAGTATCGTTGTCGTTAAATTTTGCGGATTACATATAAAGTATACTGTAAATAATCTAAAGTAAAATTAGAATCATTAGAATCATTAGACAAATAAAAAGATCTTTTAGTAATTTTTTACAATCAAAAAACAATTTTGCACTAATTTTTGACCGGCCAATCTAATCAATTATTAAACATTTTGCAAATTTTGCTCAAGTAAATTTTCTGCTTTTTTACTTGAGTAGGCAAAGCCATCCTAAGGTCTTTTGCAGTATGAGTGACACTTATTCTAAATAAATTGATTAATAATCATTTTATTAGTGGTGTCACCTATACTGCAAGAGATCCCCGCCCTAAATTAACAAGGTTCTATCACTGCAGGTTCCGGAAATTTAATTCAAAGATAGGTATTAATACAGATTCACAAGAATGAATAAAGATTAGTGCTGATTTAATGTAAATGCGCATGAATCTTCTATTTTTGAATTAGTTGATTAGCGTGATATAAAATTTTATGAATTCCATAAATTCCACATGTTATTGAGAGAACAATAGTAGTATGCGGAATTCATGGGATTCGCGTGAAAATAGCAATAAAACGCCTATTTTCTTTGTGCTCGTAAATAAGCTAAATACATTCTTGTAAATTGCATTGACTTACCTCTTTATACAAGGCATTCAAAACTCATCATTAATCTAACACGAATTTGCCCTTGAATTAGATCAGTTTTATGCAGACCAGTCATGCTCGTTTGATATCAAATCGTTCATCTCAGTAAAATCATTCAAATATAAAAGCTACATGAAATAAATATTGAAAAATAAAAATCAGTCTTAAATGTTCCAATTTTTAAAAACAAAAAAAACAAAATGTCTCGAGCTCATTCTCATAGGCTAACGAAATATGTTCATGTTCAAGATAAACTAGGTCCAAATCAAACAGCTAAACGGGCTATATGTAAAGCTTGCAAACATCATGAACACATATTTGAGAAGGGAGAAAAAGAAGGTCTCAAATTGTGGAAAGTATATGAAAAATGGAGATTTTTTAATAGGTGGGATCGTGTACAATGACACTGGAAGATTTGCCCATACTGGCGTGAGTTTTGGTTTGAGGAAGACCAGGAAGTAATGACATATGAAGACCCTAATGAAAATATGGCACGTAATGCTGTTAGAGCGTTGTGACAAGAAAGAAAACGAAATAATACAGCCATGTCCATTGTCTCATCTAATTCTAGGGCTTCAAGCAATTATACACAAATTTCAGAAACCTCCTCAACTTCGTCACACATAGATGAAACAAAGTATACCAAAAAAAAAAATCAAATTATACACTTGATTCGTATATTGCTCGTCCATTATCAACTAGTCAACAGCATGACTTTAATCGTCTTCTCCTACGACTGGTAGTCCAAAATAGTCTTTCATTTCGCTTTATTGAATCTAGTACACTTCGTCAATTTGTTAATTTTTTTAACCCGAGCGTTAAAATTCCAAATCGTCAAATGATAAGCACTAAAATCCTTGTTGAGTATGCAGAAAAGTTAGAAAAAGATAAAGTTTTTACTCTCTCTAAATCACAAGAACCAGTTACAATTATGTTTGACGGTTGGAAAAATGTGCGATGCCAGGAAATTTTAGGCGCTGTTATTCTTTCTGCAACTAATCAGTTGTATATATGGGGTGCTGAGGATATAAGTGATCGTAGTCAAAAGACTCCTGATGTACTAAATACAATTCATAATTTTTTTGAGCGTACTAAAAACCAAAATCTTAATGTAGTGGCCATGGTCACAGATAGCGCATCAGCATATGCCTCCGCACGGTATGTATAGATTACACAAAAAAAAAAATTTAGAAAAATCTTTTACCATAATCATGGAATAATACAAAAATTTATTTACTAGGCGCAAAATCCGATTACAAAAACGTAATATTATATTTCTCCTGTGCTTTGCACATCAAGCAAACCTATGTGTTGATGATATCTTTAAAATTTCATCTGAATATAAAAAAACATTAAAGAATGCCATCGGAGTTGCATCGTATTTTACTGATAAACGACATTCAAAAGCAATATCATTACTTCGTGATGAGCAGCAGAGGATTTACAAAACCACATAAAGCTTTGTGCTTCCTATAACCACCCATTAGAATTCCTATTATTATTGTTTTGCAACGCTCCTAAGAAGCCAACGTGCTCTACAGTCATATTCGATCCTATATCCAACAGACAAATCTTCCACTACTATTGATAATCCTCAATTTTGGACATACCTTGACGAATTAGTAAAACACCTTCTACCTTTTGTTAGCATACTTGACTATCTTCAACGTGATGCGGCCAATCTTTTTGATGTTGCCTATGCATTCGGATATGTAGCACAACAGTATGAAAATGATATTAATGGATTTGGTCATGAAATGCGAAAAAAACTAGAAAAAAAATGGGCAGATTGGGAGCAACCCTTTCTTTTATTGGCAATTATATTTCATCCACAATATCGTGTTCAAGCTTTGTCCAATACAAATTTTTTTTCTCTTGGCTGAATAACACGCTGGATCGAATATTATTATAAAATGTGGTTTGATGTGAAACCAAAGCATATCGCACTAGAACTAACTGAATACTATATGAAACGTGGTATATTTAGTGATGAGAGATTTGAAAATACCATTGATGCCATCCTAGCAGAAAATGTAACAAAAAATATAATTGGGCTCGCATTATTGCGATATTGGGAATTTGCAGCAATTGATCAAAAAGAGATTAGTAAAGTTGCACAAAGGTTGTACAGTATTAAAGTTAATTCCGCACCATGTGAGCACCTGTTTTCCCGAATGGGATGGTTCCAAAATCCAAGACGCAATCGTCTTAAAGTAAGAACAATGTATTAGAGTTTGGAACTGGTTTATTTTTTATATGTTAAAGCCGGTTTTAATATATGAGAAATAAAACCAGTTCCAAACTCTGCAATGTGTTTGAATTTTGTAAATTTATTTTATAAAAACTTATCTTGTTGTAGTTACAAACAATCTTTAGGATGACTCAAATCGTGGCTGAAATGGCATGGGAAGAACACTTAGATAATGCTGAAAAAATTCGCAAAACTGTTACCGCGAATCGTATTACTGATTCAAATAATAGTAAAACAGCAACAATACACTGTGAAACCCAATTAGAATCAAGCTTTGTACAAAGAAATGAAACAGACAACTCAATTGCACTTGACCTTACCAAAAATATGCATATTCCAATACTTGATGATGGTGAGATGCATAACAAAAATGATTATGATACTAATGATTATGATAGTGATGATTATTCCAGTGATGAAAATGAAGAAATAACAAACGACGAATCTATTATTAGAGAATTGGTTAATGATGATGACAATGAAAATGGGAATCTTGAAGAATTAACTACAACTTCTTATAATACCACTAATGTGCAAAATTGTCATCCAGCTGAACACGAAGGTTCAAAGATTGAACTTCAATACCTTTTTAAGCATGCTTTATCACAACCTTCGTTTGTTCGTACTCTTCAGCAAGACGTTGAGAATAATTTTGTATTTTCTAACAATTAGGACAAATCATATAAAATGTAACACAACCACGATAAATTTTATATAATAAAAGAGTTAGTTTTGCTATCAACATTTGTATTAAAAGATCAACTATAAAATATCTTGGCATAACGTAATTAGAATAAATAATATCTTATTGAATTTTAATAGATTTAGTTAACAATATAGTAATCTCCAAATATAAAAAACCCCTACAACAATAAACTTACCAAGTAGTATATCTGGCGGGATCTATATTGATCAAATATGGTTTGTTTAAATATCTAGACTTTCTAATTACAATCTTATTGATATAGACTCGGCATGTATTAGACCTGGATCTATTATAGACTTAAAATTGGTGAAATGCGAAAACTTTTAATAGAATTGAACTTTAGCTACGAATTATTGGTTGATCTAGTTACACGAACCGATATAACCGATTTGACCAACATGACCATGGTCGAACTGGTCATATTGGTCATATTGGTCTGTATAACTAGATCATTTGACCAATTTGACCAGTATCACAAGATCGGACCGGACTGGTCAATGGTCAAATCGGTCTTGTCGAATAGTCAAATTGGTCTGGTCAAACCTACTCTGATTATAAACTATCTAAGTTATAGATCTAACATCACTCGGCTTCTTCTATGGGCAACCAAGTATGGTTTACCTCACTGGTTAAGGCTATTGCCTGTATCGAAAGGCTGTATCAAGCTAGCCAATGAAATCATAGCAAGATGGTTTCGATTTAAAGAAATTTTAAACTAAACTAAATTGGCAATTTTTCTCTTCTAACTTATTCTTCATTTTATTATAAACTAAAACTAATTTTCTATTAATAAATGATTTTATCTCCTTTCTTAATAAGAGGTTATTGTCAGAAATCTCTCGTTTATATTTGCATTTCCTTTTTCTCTTCTTTCAATTAAACCTGTCCTTTCTGATTAGAGACCCAATTCTTAGGTCCTTATATTTCACAGCTTCGTGATCTTCTTCTGCTTCTTGTGAGCTTTTTCTGTGATCTTTCTATGCAGATACTCTTCTATAAGCTTTTTTTTCTTTAAAAAATCTTGGGCCTTCTTTTGGTCTTTCTATTCCAGAGTCTTGAATAGTTCATCCAAATTTATTTTCTTCTATATTTTGAGTATAGAGGTCTTCTTTTTTCCTTTTCTTTATCTTTTTCTTTTTTTTTTTCTTCTTAGGCTTTAGTTTTCTTCCCAAAAACTTTCTTTAAATTTCAACAAAGATTCTCTGATTCTCAAGGATTTTTACAAAAATCTTTTCTAATATCTTTAATAATATATCTTTTTTCTTCCTTTTCTAATTTTTGGTACCTTTCTATCTATAAGTTATTGTATCTTGAAACGAATTCAAATCTATGCTTCTTTGGTCTTTCAGGCATCTTAGATTTTATTGAGATTTCACACCATATATCCATTTTGTAAGCAACTTTTTCTTCTTCTTTTTCCATGTCCTGTTACTAGGTTATATCTTTGATACTAACTTGGTATATTACTTCTATCAACCATTCTGCCAGAGTTGTTAGTACAATTTTTGGTTTTGTTTTTTCTTGAATCTTGTTTCATGTTTTTGTTTCAGTAAGATCTAAAATATCTTGTCTTTTGCTTCTCTTTTTTTTTTCTTCTCTGATTTTTCTTTTTTTCTTTTCTTGTCTAAATGCAGTAGATTCAACAGATATTCTAAACTATAATAT